CAAAGTCGACAAAAAAATCGAACAGCCCGACCTCTCTACCCCCTGGATACACTAACAACGGCACAAGAAAGTTGAAAATACAAGGATGAAACCGGACACGACACCGGACCCGGGAGAACCACTCAACTGACGCCTCCCCCTATATGCGCCTATCGAGTCTACAAAAATTGCCTCGTGTCTGTCTGCCTCGCTGCCTTCGAACCATGCGCTGCGATCATTGCCATTTTGGTCTTCTGTAGATGGAAAGCGGCGTCACGGTTGCCGCTCCCTTCCGCTGCCGTCTCCAGAGCCCCGAAGTGCGACGAAAGTGCCGCGTACGGCGGAAGTGCCGCATGACTTGAGGGTTTCTCGCTCGCTTCGTCGTCCGAGCTCTCCTCCGCGGGAGCCGTGCCATCAAGCAGCTCCGTCATCTCGTCCACGGCGTCCTGCTGCATGGCTTCCACAACATCCGGCTAGTCCTCCACCGTCGCCCACACTTCAGCCGCTCGCACAGCGGCAGCATCGGCGGACTCTCCCGCAGTGATGCCCAGGGCCGCCAGCATTTCTGTCAACTCCGTCCCATGAAGATTGTGGCTGTGGAGGTCGTTGCGCTTCACAAAGTTCTTGCTCCACTTGTCGCCAGCCTTGAAGTCCTCGAGCCTCTTCCTCACAGTCAGTCGTTTTCGCCGAGCCCAACAGGGTGGCCTTGCCAGAGCGGCCGAAGGATCGGATGACGTTGCCGGTGACGGTGTACTTCGCCATCCGCGCCTTGTTGACGAGGTCCAAAACTAAAGAATCCAACGGTACAAAGTCAGCAGCAAGCACCACAGGGTTCAAATCGGTGTGCGCGGGTTAGAACAGAACTGCTTTCACGGATGAAAAATATCACAAAGTTACGCACCAGCACCAAAGTTCACGCACGCAGAGACTACACTTGTGGAAAGGTTGACGTTTGCCGACCCTAGCCAAAATGTACACGCAGATAAAACGAGCAGTGGAAAAAACATATACTTAAAAATGTGTGCGCCTTTTTTGTTGTGTGTGGGTGGTGCATCAGATGTAAAATGTTCGTGATGCTTCCAATGCAGTTGACCGCGCAAAGCACAATCTCAGTGCATATCCAGACTGCTTTGGGGGGGGTCGCTATTTGCACACATCAAGCACTGCGATTTGTCCAAGGAAAGTGCGATCTGTACCGAGTGGTACAAACGGCAGGCTGAACATAAAAAAAAACAACACCGAGTGGTACAAACGGCAGGCTGAAAAAAAACAAAAACAACAGGAGCATACCTCTGGGAAATCCCCCGCCCGAATACTGGTTGGGTCGGTAGGGGTACGCTAGGTATTGCTGTTGTGTAGATCTCTGGAGTGGTCGTGTTGCGGGTTGAATAATGCTGCCGAAGAACTGGGTGCGTCACACCAAAACCGGCCTTATATAGGGTGCGCGGACGCCCTAATCGGCCTTAAATAGGGACCATGCCTGTTTAAGGCCTGTGCGGCCTTAAAAAGGAAGGCAAGTGTAACAGACGATTTCACCGGCCTTAAAAAGGGCCACCGGCCTTAAATTTGGGGCCTTCAACAAGGGCCACTACTGTAATGCGATCGATCGGAGATCGAGCAAGGCGGTCGCTAGGTCCAGCAGCAGCAGATAAAGCCGAGGTACCGAGAGCGGGATTGGGTGCAAAGAGCGTCTAGACGATCTCTGAAACCTGAACAAAAGATTGACAGACATCAAATGAATGGTAGATCATTACTGAATATAAACCTTTGAACATACGTCGGCGGCATACACATGTTCCGCGCGCAGTTGTTGTCGTTGACTGTTTTGGCGTCTTTCTTAGGAGTGCGACGAGGAAGGACCCTGGCTCTTGCGGTTGCAGGTGGCGGAGAAGTAGGAACAGGGGGTGNTTCGGTGGAAAGCGGATTTCTGTTCGATACGGTGTCGGGAGTGCTGAAGGGGAAGGACCCTGGCTCTTGCGGTTGCAGGTGGCGGAGAAGTAGGAACAGGGGGTGGCAGTGTCGGGGGTTTGCGGGAGCATGGGCTTGAGTGGGGGGTGTCTCAGAAAGAGCAACACGGCGGG